AGGGGGGAGTGGAGAGAGAGAGAGGAGAAAGAGATGCAAAATGAGCATGGATATACTGTATCTGTTTTTGTGGCTCAGTTGTTTCATTTCTGTTGTCCTATTTCCACCGGGTTTGAAAATCATAAAAACAAAACAGAAGACAATTCATCTGGATGAATAAGAATTCTAGTTGAATAAAGAAATTATGAGTTGAATGTGAAGAGGTATTTTAACAATTATACACCCACCAAGACTATAAAGAGAGGAGAGAAACAGTGTAATGGAAAACCTAATCTTTGCAAATCATATCTTGATTCAGGAAATGGTTTGCACAGATGCCCTAAATACTATCTCAAGGGAAATCCCCAAATGATGATTTGGTGGGTATTTATAACTTTTCATATAGTAACTACGTTACTCTGTAGGCGAGTGTGGCACCTAATAGCCATGTCCACAAAACAGACTGCAATTAAGTTAATAACCAATTTTATCTAGGGGATTGTTGGCCAGGACTAGGGAGAAATTCCTTTTCTTTTCAGAGAGTGCCATGGGATCTTTAAAGTCCTCCTGAACAGGCAGGCAGAACCTCGATTTAACATCTCATTCCTAAGGACAGCAACTCCAACACTGGAGCTGTTGTCCTTAGCAACTTCCTCTATCTTCCTCTATCCCTCCACCTTGCTCCTTCCTTCCCCATTTTCAGGTCACACCTGAAGACCTCCCTATTCGACCGTGCCTACAGTCACCTCCCCCTCCCCCCGGCTCGGAGTAGTGCTCCGCCACTGTCAAGCGCTCTGAGATGCCACCCTGCGTGAGGGGTGCTGTATGAATGCAAGTTGTTGTTGCTGTTGAGTGTCAACCCAGATTCTGAGCTAAAAGTACTGATGGTGGGGCTTGAATCCACAAGTCTGAGGCGAGAGAGAGTGCTACCAACTAAGCGAGCCTGACACCTTCTGAGCACCAATGAATAAAACGCACTTATCTTACAAAAAAAAATGGACAGAGAAATGTAAGTTCTACTCTGAAATGTGACTGAGCAGTGTGGAGCCTTCGTGTACTCGGGGCACTTTGCCATAGATTGGCAGGATTTGCCATCAGTTCAGTGTGTGGTCTCGGCCAGATCACCACAATGAAGGGGGGGGGGGGAAAAAGGTCTTTCGATGAAGTCAAAATTGAGGCGGAAAAAAAATGTTGACTCAATATCCTGAGTCCTGTTTCGTTCCTCTGGTCAGCTTTTAATTTAGCAATTGCTTTACAAAAAATTTCAGAAATATTGCTTTGAAATTGAACTGCACTTAGCAGTAAAATACTGACCAACGCTGCTCGCATCTAAATCAACATGATTCACCCAACAAATATGTTAATTGGACTATAAAATTTGATGTGTTGCCCAATGAGTTACCAATCAAAAACAAGCGTTTGTGCCTTTGGTCTGGCCAGCATCAGGGTACTTTAACCATTCCCTGTGCACTGGATCCTTCTGTATTGCAATAAAGATTTGGATAATCCAGTTACTGATCTGTATTCAGAAATCAGTAGCTATGGAGCAATTGAAAGATTCTTAAAGTCTCTTCAGTAACTAATATTTTGACAGAATGTTTTATCTTTTTTCCCCTGCTGACTGTATTCGAAATGACATCAGAGGAAACAACTTGACCTGCAAAATCAATTTTCTGATATAATAACCAAAGACACTGTAACACGACTCCTGATTGTATCAGTCATTGATCTGTGGGTAACAGGACCATTTATTTAATCTGTGGACTTGATATGTGAAAGACAGTCTCCTTGACTGCAAATGGTGTAGTTGAACACCAATGATGGTGATATTTTAATATAGAGGAGAAAGTACTGGGCTGGTTCAATTCAACTACAAAATGCAGTCATTCCACTTTACAATATATCCTGTGAAGCGCTTTGAGACATCTCAACAACGTGATAAGGCGTTTTATCGAATGCATGGTCGAAGAGGAAGGTTTTCATGCGGGACTACTTGAAAAAGGGGACAGAGGTGGCAAGGCACAGAGATTGAGGGAGAGTGTTCCAGAGTCTGAAGGCAGGCTTTAAAAGTGGGAAGGGAAGGGCAGGGGCAAGGTGGAGGGACTTCAGGATGGAGTTGCAGAGAGCGATTGTAGAATGGCTCATCAATGTTGGGGGTTTTGGGAGGGGGAGATGGGGGGGGCGCAGGAGATATGAAGCAAGCTGCTATTTGCTGATTGAAGATGCTGGGCTTACAATTCCTGCCTCCAGGTGGTGAAAGTTTCATGTTTAAGTGACAACAAAATAACGGCCTACCCTCACCCTGGGTTCCTACTTGCCCGGTCCGGCCACAGGAGCAGCACAGAGACGTCAAGCAAACAGCCACAGAGGCCTGGAGCCGAGCAAACTTCATTTCTGCACCCTGAATGGTTTACTCTATACTGTATCAATATTTTGTACAAAAGCATGTAAATGAGGCTGTGTATCTGTATTTTCCCCAGTTGTTGGCACGAAGGAATTGTCAATTGCAAGGGTAGGTTAGTTACCTAACAGGAAGCTGCAAAGCCACATCTCCAGAATGTGCTGTAATGTGCGAAACATTTAAATGCAGTCAAAGTGCGACAGAGTTTGCATAAGCACATCAACAGCATTAATTAATGGATTAATGGATAAACAAAACACACAAATGTTTGTATTAGGGAACCCATTTCTTCTTGTCAATTAGGTGCTAATACAGCCCCTAAACTGCATTGGTTCTTTTTATAAGCTGCAAGACAAATCCCAGAAATACTGCCCTTCCAATTGGTGGCAATGTAACGCAGCCTATTCTGAGGCACAGATTTCATGGTGAGACAAAAGGGAAATTCTAATGTGCTTCATTGTAGTGCTGGTTCCTTCAACAATAATCTTTGCATTTGATATAGCGCCTTATCACGTCTTTGAGGCGTCTCAAAGTGCTTCACAGAATATACTGTGAAGTGAATTGATTGTATATTTTGTGAGCAGCTAATTGCGTACAGCAGTGTCCCACAAACAGTCGCGGATTGAAGTGACCAAATTATTACTGTTTTTTTCTTGAGGGATTGTGTGTGGAGGTGTGTGGAGTAAGGAAATTTGCCCAGGGTTTTGCCCAGCCGGAAATCGAACCCAGGTCTCTTGCTTGTGAGGCGAGTGCTCTAACCACTGAGCTACAGGACTCTAATGTACAGGCTGGGATTTTATACATCCCATTTTACAATGAGATCCCACTGTAGAAGCCATATTGCTGGAGCATTAACTGTGCTGTGCAGGATACTGAATGTGTCAAGATCAGTGATGCCTTAATTAAGCTGACAAGTTACACGCTCTTGATTTACTTGCTCAAAAATATTTTTAAAATAGTTGTAGGAAGCTGTTAACAGAGAGAGAGAGGCGCTTAATGCTCTTAGCTGATATCAAATGCCCCTCAGACTACCGTTCTGAAGTTTCCCATGGAAGGAGACATTCACCAGACGCACAAGGCTCAAGCAGCTGGGTCACAGAGCTTCCAGCAGCAGATGCTGAATTAAAGCACAGCAGATTTCATCAGCAAAGCAAAACAGCCGAAATGCTTCGTGTACCCAGGGCTATGTCATGCTGAGAGCTTATGTGGTAGCTCAGCTGAATTCCAAGCAAATCCTTAAGATCCAAGTGTTGCCAGGAGGAGTCACTATCAACTACCAAATGGTTTTAAGGGCTGTCAGAAATAGATTAGGATTTCTGAGGCAAGTGTGAGACATTTCAATTCATTTTGACCAGAGTGAGAAGACCTTAAAAAGCAAAGCTATTCATCACTCCTTAATTAGTAAGCATCTAGCAACATTCCGCTTTTGTAACGCTCTCCTATGAAATTCTGTGACTTGGAGGCATTTTCACTGTGTTTCTAGTCATCTGCAAACAGTTAAGTTTTTTTTAAAAAATCATCGGCAAATGGAGATCTTCACCTCTAATTGATTCATTCTTCTGAGATATTTCACATGCAGAAAAAACACAGCCATGACCATTTCAATGCCAATTCATACAGGTAGGAAGATAGGAATGGTTTGATTGCGAGGGGGGTACTGATAAAAAAAAACATTCTTTGACCCATTTGATCTCATCCTTCCAGAATAGACACTCTATTGTCTTCCCACAACATGGGGAGGACAAATTTTCAAGGCTACGGGGAATGAGTGGGGGAGTGGGATGAACTTGGACAGCTCTTTCAAAGTGCATGCACCGAACACAATGGGTCGAATGTACTGTATGATTCTATGAACACTGTCAAGCGGTTTCATGAATTTAGTCCTGGATGGTACCCAAAAATGAAGCAAAAGGATGCTGCACCTTTCAATAAATAGCAACAAATGACATTTGTATAGCGCCTTTCATTTCACGAGGACATCCCAAGGCGCTGGGCACTATCGAAACGGAATCACTATTTCAGTGAGCAAGTAGTAAACATATGGAACCGGCTCCCTAGGGAGACAGTGGAAGTAGAAAGTGTCGATTCTTTCAAGAACAAATTAAATAGATTTTTGTTTGGAAAGAATAGCTCAGGATAGACCTTGGTTTTCTTTCGCCTAGCAAATTCTTATATTCTCATGTTCTTAAATCAGCAATCTTAATTGTTAAAATCGACCAGCTCCCTTTGTTGAACTATAGAATACAAACAGTTTTTTAGCAAAAATCCTCCACATTATTTATGAAAATACAGAAGCACAGTCATGGTGCCATTTCAATGCATGCCAAAAGGCTTCCATTTGGCATGAAAGGAAGTTACTGCAGAATTTAATTAAAATAAACTTTCAGACCTAGATTATTCACCTATTACCTTCTCCTTCCCCAACCCACAAAGTAATTTTGACAAGCCTCACGTTGAAATTAATGCATTTTCTCATAAAATCAAATGCTCTAAAGTGAATCCAGGAAATACATTCCTGTTTCCCTTCCACATAAACCAGCAAAGCAGAAAGGATAGACCAAGGATTTCCACAAAGACATAAATAATCTATCTTGTAGCTCTTAAAAAAATAAGTCCAAACCAGATCATACGACATCAGGACCTTCTTCTGTGCTTCAGGTATTGTTCCTTGAGTCTCCAAGAATGGATACTGTTCCTTCTTAGTCAGTTGCACAATAGGGATGTTGTCACTGTTCAGCAATCGTGGAGAAAAGGACTTAATGCACTGCTTCAGATTGGAAATGGGAGAGAGGCCACAGGCTTCCTTGAAGGAGACTACGGCATTCTGTCCATAATGAAGAGAAAGGGCAGAGTTTAAAAAAGCAATAATAAAGAAACCAAAATACGTGATACGATTTAATTCCTCCCGTCAATATGCAATGTCTTAAAACTCAGGCTAGCAGAAACTGCACCTTACTTTTGGGGGAAAGAAAATCTATCAGTAAAGTAATAAATTAATGGCAATTCATTAATGTGACAATAAGAAGCTTACAATAAGGGAGCTTATAATTACCGACTCCAAAACACAAGTAAAATCATGCAAAGTCCAAATTGGTATAGGATATATATTTATTATTGTTATTACTATTATGATAATAAAGCTATATCCAAAAACTAGTTGGGAATTTCCCCAATAGCTCAGTTTGTAGAGTTTTGATCCTCAAAAACGTCAACATGCAATGCTCGTGAACTCCAATGCAGGTTTCATTAAACCTTTGGCATCACTCAATGATCCATTGGGCACGGACAGAAACACCACTCAGTGCCCACTGACGATGGCCGGCACTAAACACTTTACACTTCCCCAAGAGACACGCCGGAGAGGTAGCCCAACAAAAGATTTGTAATTATTTTCTTTACCGAAATCCTCACAAAGAAACATGGGACAGCAGTTCAATCATTAGATTTAGTTGGGTGGTCATGATGCAGTTACAACAACAACAAATTGCATCTACATAGTGCCTTTCACATCAGGAGGATGTCCCAAGGCGCTGGACAGTGAGGGTTTGCACCCGAGCTGGGGATTGGATTCTGGAGGGGTGGAGACCAAGTTACACTGAAAACAATTTTTAAGAAATAAAATGATTTGCTGTTTATCAATGAGCAATGTGATCCCGACTGAATTCTATAGTAGGAATTAATGAGGGAATACGTAGTTTTGGCACAAATTGTTAGGTACCTGCATATTTTCTCGGATATCTGCAGCTTCCTGCAATGGATTGCTTGCACTTTTGAAAAAATCATCGATTGCTTTGATCCCAGTTGTCTTCAATATGGTGTATTCTCTCTCCTTTTTAACTTTCCTTACAGACAGACGACGCTTGTGAGACTTTCCACATCCCCGTTGGTTAGTTATTGCAACGTGAATGAACAGAGTAGCGTATTCAATTAGTTCCCCGGTGAAGGAGAGCAAAGGGACGTGCCGGTATCCAGGCTGCAAACACTCGTATGGTATGGTGTACTGGCCGATGAATTCATCACCGATGTAATCATCGTCCAAAACCACAAATCGAACCTGCACCAGCTCAGGCAGGTTGATCTCAAATTCCAAGCTTGCATCAAACATAGGATTATCTCCATTTTGGTGAACAGTCCTGGTCCTCAGTTCTGCACAATCTGTAGGAATGCCATGAATTTCCACACAAACGTAAGGATCGATGACGTCTCCTTTTGCACCAGCACCTTTAGGCTTGGGGAAGTTCTGTCCGCTGATGATTTTTAGATGTAAAGTCTGAGGCAAGACTCCAGGCACCATCCCCTTGATGTTGGCGCTGAAATAGGACACTTCTTCTCGCATGATGGAAGGTCGCAGGACGTAACCACAACGCCCGTTCTGCTGAAACCAGCCAATGTTGAGATCCATCATTGGGCCAGGGGTCTGACAGTTCATGGATACAATCTGGCAGCCACAATTCCAGAATTCTTGTGGGTTCATGTTGCCTGAATCTATCCTCATTGCGCTGGGGTAAACCCGGGATAGAAATTTCTTGTTGTGGTTCACAAATTCCTCTGGAAATTCATTCGCCAATTTGCTGGCCATGGTTTCATTGAAATTGCACATGTGCCAGTACTTCTGATTCTTCATCGAAGTATTAAAGTCTGTGAAATGTATACATTGGCACAGAGTGATCAAATCAGACAGCTCCTTACATAATCGGATGAGGCGGTTATCACTGTGAGAGTTGTCGGTTAATTTCTGGGTGACGTAAGTTTCTTCGTCATCATTGGTCAGATATCCGTCCGAGGATTCACTGTGCGGCGGCATCACCCTTCCCTTCAGAATGATCTTCCTCTTGACCTTCTCCGGTGATGGGAGGTAAGTCTGTGATGAATTCGGATGCTCGGTGAAAATTTTGTTTCCCAAGATTTTCTTCATGTGCTGGACCATGACCCTCTGCTGCTCTACGGAGCAATGATTCCCCAAGCTCAGGATCAGGGGGTACTCCGAGAACATAAAGGCATACTTGCTTATCACTTCGATCACATTGCGGAAGGTAAGGGCATTGCTCATAGCGTTGCGATTGCAGATGATCGGTTCGTTGTCTGGCCCGTTGTACACATTGAGCTCAATGCTTCTGAAGCCCAGGGTCAATGCCCTGATGAATCCCTGTAGATTGGCTGGTCCTCTATACTGGCCCTCTGTCAGGTATGTGTTGTGGGAGGAACTGATATAATAATGGGATAGTGGCTGGGTCATATCCTGGCAGACTTTATTGTGCTCTGGATCAAATATATCACATTCTGGTGAGATAAGGAATTGAGTGAAGCCATCAATACCAAGTTGATTGCTTATCTGACCCTCCAGTGATGGTTCATACCTCTGTATAATATCAAGGCACATTTCTTCTGTCACTTGCGTCATACCTTGTTCAGTTTCAAGAAACAACATCAAGTCTTTGGCACCTATAAATTCTTTATTGTTAGATATCTGCACAAGCAAATAATATACCTCAGGCCGAGTGCAAAGGTCACTATATGCATCACAAAACTCTTCCTCCGTTACCCTATTTATTAGCTTTTCTTTACCTTTCTGGAGCTCCTTAAATTTATTTCTGATTTTTGTTTCCTTCATGGCTGGATTGAGTTTCTTGATCAATGCCACTGCTGTGTCTTCAAGCATGATTCCAAAACCATCCGCATCAGCTTCCTGAAACTGAGCTGTGAGCCATTTCTGCCTCAGCGTGTTCTGATCCTTTGCCAGGTCTACAGAGGGATTACTGTGTGAAATCAGGTAGCGTATGCCTGTAATCCAAATGTTTGCTACTTCTGTAGAATAGGCCACCAAATCCAATGACTGATAGTTGTCTCCGTGTATTATAGAGAACGCACACTCTTCGCTGATTTGATCCACAAAAGCACAGCTTCGGAAAATCTCTGTGTTTTTGCCGACCCAAATTTCCTTAATAGATGAGACGTTGATTTTGGCTTTTTCAGGATCCTTCTTGGAAGGTTCCCAGCGGAGAGCTTGGAAGTCAATGTCCAGCATGAAGAAACGATGGTACAAGCGTGAATTTGAACGGATTTTTTTCAGTTCACAGCCAGCCTGCATGAAACTCAGGCAATCGCTTGACTTGCTAATTTTCTTTTCGGAAGGCATGCTGCTGAATGAGACAGTTTTCTTTCTTTCGGTTTTCTGTCTCGTTGCATCCTGTTGGAAGGTTTATATATGTATTATTTTAAAATAGTGTTATTTTAGAAATACGGTCAGAACCGAAAAATACATCAGTTTTATAAAACTCCAAACACGTGCTACCAAACATACAGACCTAGTTTTCATTCTCACTGAATGTTGGGCACTGCATTCAAAAAGTGCATGTTCTATGTAATTCTATGCTCAGTAACTCATAACACTGTTACTGATGCTTGTGTGTGTTGTGAGGGAAGTGTGAGGCTTTGCCTTTACACAATGGATAAATATTAATGAACTAATTTCTTCTATTCCTGAACGATTTACATCAAATATTTCAGGAGAAGCTGCTGACTGACTGAATGGCGAGATCTCACACCATTAGTTCTATATGCAGTTTAGAAGGAAAATAGTTCCCCCAGGATGATGCCCAACAAGGACGAGGCAAGCAGGAGAAACTCCCTTCTCTTTTTCAATAGTGTCAGTCGGTTCAATCAACATCCACCCGAACAGGCAAACAGGACCTCAATGGAGACCCTAAAATGTATCTTCCAAAGGCTGGCACCTCCAAAAGTGCAGCACTCCACCAGTACTGCACTGGAGTGTCAGCCTGCACTGTGTGAGTTCAAGTGCCCAGTAGGACCGTTTCTGCTCCTTCTCACCAACTGCGAGGAGAGAGAGAGACAAAGATGTGTTGGAAATATCTTGGCACTCTTTTAACTAAACCTGAATACGTTTCAGTTGCAGACACAGATCAATGTATGTCTGTGGTTCACAAACATCTGGCAATACGACACTCTGCCGAGTTTAACCAGGTTGACGTGCCTTTAATGTTTTTCAAGACGCTGCAAACAATATAATGCCGCAGATCATGCAAAAAATCATGACTGAACTTAAGACTGTTATCTGGTGAGGACTTAGTTACAAATGTGTTCCATCCTCAAAACACAGCTTTTCTTTATCAAACATAAAACACACTTTATTTACATGACAGATAAGGGGCAACACCTCTTTTCTTTCACTTAAAATCCTCAGGGGAGCATATATCAATTAACTAATAGTCTGTCACTTAGCAGAGGACCTACGGCTCGCTCGCACTCCAGCAGTTCCAGAGAAGCAGCAGGCAGATGTGAATGAATATCAACACAGGAGAAAAAGTCTCATGGTTTGTCCTGGCTGCTTGCCAGCAACCAAAACATCAGCTGAACACAGAAGATTTGGGAGACTTTAGTCTTGCTCACACATAAAAAATATGTCGGAATCCATTATGGTGATGGGTTTCCGCGTGTCTGACAAACACCCAGCTGAACATTCTCCCCCCAGCTCCATCCATTATTCAAAACATTTTTACCAGTTGGGTGTTTTCCTATTAGATATACATGTAATAAGTATAACCCAGTTCCTGATCAGTGGTCACCAGATACCAGCACATGCACCTCAATATTCTCTTCTCAATGTTATAGACAATTATTCCTGCAAGTGGTCTTCCTATTAAGCTAACAATGAGCCGGGGTACCAGCTATGGATCACTATACTGGCCTGGAAATACCGCTCTTTCCCAGCCCTATGTTCCTAACTTTGCAGGAGCATACGTCTTCGATGTTGACAGGACATCACTGATGTGCCTTTTGAGTTGCACTTGTTAAAACCAAATCGACAAAATGTTTCTTCTCCAATGTCAATTAGGTTAAGTCTCCATCCTTATGACTAATTGATGAGCCTGGCAACTCCAATCCTGCCTTCCTAACAATCACTTCCCATGTATGAAATGACTATCATTTGCTGATTTTTCAAGTAACTGAAGTACATATTAAAGTACAGCCTGACATATACTTATGGATATATATATATGTATATATTTACACAGTATCTTATTGTGTGAATCTGGAGAGAAATTATTTGAATTATTCATCAATTATTGTTGAATTTATTTTTCCCTGCCAATTTTTCTTTACCAGGCTTTTTAATGGTTTTGTAAAGAGTGGAGTGCACTAATATGATCATCTTGGTTCAGTTGGTTGCACTCGCTTAAAAAAAATAATAATTTGGTCACTGAATCCACGACTATTTGTGGAACATTGCCGTGCACAATTGGCTGCCACATTTCGCCAATTTGCTTTACAGTACATTCTGAGAAGCGCTTTGAGTCATCTCAAGGATGTGATAAAGTGTTATATCAAATGCAAGGATTATTCTTAGTATTATTACTCTCGCCTCTGAGTCAGAAGATTGTGCATTCAAGCCCCACATCGGGCCTTGGAACTCATATAATCAAAGCTGACTCTCCACTGCATTGTCAGAGATGTCGTTTTTCAGATGAGACATTAAACCAAGGTCCTGTCTGCTGGTCATGTGAACATTAAAAGATCCCATGGCACTATGCAAAAGGAGAAGGGAGTTTCTCCCGGTGTCCAGGCCAACAACCCCCCAAATAAAATTGGTCAGTCATTTTGTGGCTATTTGTCAGATGTAAGGATTATTATTTTTATTATTACTACTAGGAGGATTGTGCAGTAGAAATATTTTGTCAGAAGGCAACAAGGAGATATTGTAATTCGGTAACCTTACTCATCTCCTTCATTATGCAAACAGAATATACTAAAGAAAGCCAAGAAGTGTTAAGAAAGATTAATTTCCTATTTATTTGAATAATATCCTTGCAAACATCCTAGTAAACCGCCCATTGAAAATGCAAGTGTTAAGAGGCAATCTTGTAATAGATTTGGTGAAAAAGCAATCCTGCACTAAAACCATGAACTCCTCACCACTTCTGTTCTAATACTAACACTGCATCAATAAAGCTACAGGAAATCAAAATTTCAATAACAAATTTGAGAAACGCTTTTGTATCTGAATCAGGTCCCAGATATATGCTCTCTTACTCACCATAATTTAACTCTCTCCCAACTCAAACATAAACTCAAACTTAACACTGGAAATTTGTCATATATTTAAATTTGGGGGAATGTTGGTCAGGACATTGGTAGAAACGCCCTTTTCTTTTGAGCAGTGACATGAGATCTCTAACATCTATCTGTTCATTTCCACCACAAAACACACCCGGTCACACACTTTACAGTATATTCTGTGAAGCGCTTTGAGATGCCTTGATGATGTGATAAAGCGCTATATCAAATAATAACTTGTATCTATATAGCGCCCTTCACGGGTAGCGACCCGGAGCTTGCAAATGCAAGGATTATTACCTGAACAGGCAGACAGTACCTTGGTTTAAAGTCGCATCCAAAGGACAGCATATCTGATAATGCAGTGCTCCCCCAACACTGCACTGGAGTGCCTAGTCACAGCCTAAACTGTGAGCTTGAAGTTCCAAAGTCTTGTAACACATCACTGTACGCACACCAGAGGCATTACGTTTCTCAGTCTTAGCCTTAAAGAGTTTTTCTTGGTATCCTTCAGATTAATTAGTCATTCTTCTCATGGCTGTTTGTGCAACCCTCCTGGTGCAATGAAGCTGTGTGATTTTTTCCTTATTATGCAATGAATAAATGATGTCTTGGAATGTGTTTTGAGGTTTATTCGATAAGATTTGGAAACGTCACAAACTACAGGCTTTAACAAGAGGGCGAAGCTGGGTAAGACAGAAGTAATTTATTAAACCTTGTCTAAAATAAGATGAAGCACTTCTGAATTACTGAGGGGATAAGATCATGTGGGCTAATGCAGAGAGACATAATAAGCATTTTGCTTTGCTGGAGCCACAAGGTGATTTGAGACACTATCACAGTGCTTAAAAATAAAAACACTGGCAGTGCAATCAATATTTGCAAAGTCCAGATGGGAATTATTAAAGTTTATGTACAGCTTAAGAAATAAAGTGGATTCTAGTCTTCACAGTTGTCAGCCTGGCTTGGTTGGTAACTTGCCTCTAAATCAAAAGTTTCTGGGTACAAGCTCCACATTGGATCTCAGTCTAGGCTGACACTCCAGTGCAGTGCTGGGAGAGGCAGTGTCGTCCTTCGAACGAGAAGTTTAACCCAAGGTCCCGCCTGCCTGTTCCAAGTGAACGTTAAAGATCCCTTGGCACTACTCAAACTGTAAGGTTCTATAGTACAATGAATTGGGAATTTTCAATCCAGTCTATAGTCACTGAAATATCAATGAGGTCAAGGGCATTGCACTCATTTAAGAAATAGCTTGATGCGGTAATCAGAAGTAAAGTGAGTATTCTAGAGAGATGAGATCAAATAGGCTGGAGGGACTTCTTTGTGTATTCCTTTCTTGCTTGCACAACCACCATTCAATATCAAACAGCCTTCCGTAGGATTGCTAAAACCTGTCAACACTCTCTGTGAATAGTGGCTGGCTAAATATTTTTTGCAGCATGCAACTGACACATTAATCGCCTTGATTGTTATAATAGTACTGCCATCATAATGTAGTCAGTTTGAATAATTGTGTGACCAAAGCTCACAGTTGGACATTTTTAATACCATACTGAAAAATATACACTTTACCTTGTGCCAAATCTCCTATAGTATTCACAAACACTTCTGCCCACAAAATCCAGTTATTGCACTTTACATGGAAAAGACAATGTATTTCCAGACCTTTGTCAATATATAGTGAAATTAGCCAGCTGGGAAGGAAATGCATTGGAATTGATGTAGGTCAACCCATCTTTGCCCCACTTCCCTCCAGCAAAACTCCTCTTGTCCAATCATCACCACCCCCAGATGGTGATGTTGAGTTTAGGAACTCACTGTGTTTAGGGGGCAGGGAGGGGACATAGTAGGGTGGTAGGGAGGCTGAAAGCATGACACAATGCCACTAACAGCACAAAGAAAAACAACAATGAGGAGGAATTCTGCACACCCCATTTCAACAGGATTTTCTTCCCATGAAGTCTCCTTCGCGCAAATCAATTATATGATGAACTGCAGAGAACACGTATTTCTGAATCTATCCCATTTGTTTTGTCTCTGTGCAGCAGGCAGCAATTAGGCAAACTGTAAGCAGAAGCCTTCTACCAATGGAATGTCAATTTCCTTGATGCGAGC